CCGACCACATTTCTCTTAACTCAAGTTACAGTGAAACAAGATTTATTTATATTCTTGAAGATAATTTTAATATGAAACTAGAAAGTCAATCAGCGCATCAATGCAGAATTAATAAAACATTTAAAATATGCATCTATATAATCCAACATTAAAAATATAATTATCAAATATAAGAGAATTTATATAATGCAATATTATAAGATATTAAATATAGAGTTAAGTTCAAAGTTTAAATCACAAGTAATATATTCAAAAAATAGTTTAAAGAAACACTAGTAATTTTGATAAGCAACCAAAAACAAAATATAAATCTGAATTAAAAAATTCATATAATATCTTGCTAAATAAAATAGGTCAAATTATGCATCATCAAAGTGATAAACAATTTTTTTTACTCAAAATATGATTTTTATTCATAGAAGAGTCTTACACTTGCAACTAGATCAAGACCTACAATATAAGGGCAAAGCTCCAAAAAATCATAATCTATTAGAAACAAACTCAGCCATAAAAAGAAATAAATCCTTTTAACACAAACATAAAACATATCAATCTTTGTAACACCTAAATTACCCAAAAAATCTGCTAAAGAGTTTACTTCTCTTAAACTCAACCTTTCTAATCTTAACCCTAAGTCAACCTATTTCAATGAAAGATTGACACTCCTTCTAAGATCGCAAGTAGCTTTTTTATGGCAAAAATCTCAGTATAATTTTTTTCATTGTTGTTTAAAAGACTTGTCTTATAAATTAGAATCCAATTGTAATTGCCCAAAATCCCATTGTAGATGTTTGAAGTACCTACTATTATAGTCCTAAAAAGTTTGTTTACCCTTTTTATTTGTCTTTATAAGTTCAATAATTCTACTTTTAATATCTAAAATAATTTTCTCATATTCATACTTTTCAATTTTATTTTTTGTCTTCGCACAATTAAACTTGAAAATACAAATCAAGGTAAATGCAAATGATTCTATAAGTTAACATACTAAATCTTACCTTTAAATTGAGAAAATACTAAATTGAAAAATTATGAAATTGAATCCTTCATGATAAGAGTTAGAGAATGTAATAATAAATTTCTTGAGTCTTGGGAAAAGGCAAGCATGAAACTATTATATAAAAGGTATCTAGGGCAATAAACTAAATTGATCAACTAATTTTTACAGTAATGCGTCATTCCATAAAGTCCAATAGTAAACTCAACATACTCAAAATGCATGAATTTAATAAAGTACAAAAAAATAGAAGCAATAAACCTACCACAATAAAGCAAAAAAGATTAATAAAAAACTAACAGAAACAATCAAATGCATAATTTGCTTTACAACGTCTGCAAACTCAAGAAGCAAGACATTTGATTTGCTTATTATTATTTAATTAATAGACTAAATTTTAAATAGAACATGTATAGTAATGGCAAAATAAATTAGAAGAAATCATAACTGCATCCTCATTGGAGAAACCAATGATAGGCACCTTAAAGCCTTCTATTAATCCTTGCTTAAAAAAAAGCCAAAGATTAAAAAAATTATACTATTGCTACAAAAAATCTCTTAATTTTTCTTATACATATATTAACAAATTTTAAAGAATCGCGAAACAAACGATTAAAATTAAAAAGCAATTAGCAAATACAATAATAAGGAGTCTAATCATAACAAACAAAATAAGATATGTGGTACTAAAGCCAAAGCATTAAAAGACAATAATACCTTGTGATGATGGAATCTGTTAAGTGAAAATGTATGATCATTGGCAAGCTTGATCCTTTGGACAACCAAAGATGGGTCAGAAAGTTGACTTTTCTTCTTAAACTATTGTGTTATGTACTCATTAAAATACTTCTTCTACTATTCTTTTCCAACGTGTTTTTTTATTGCTTTGAGAAGATCACTATATACTTTGATTATTGCGAAAAGCTTGTTGAGAATCAATTATGAAGCCGTTCAGTCTAAAACAAAATTTGCAATGTCAAAACTCTCTCGAGCATTTTATTAATGTAGTGTGAAAAAATTAATGTTTGATAGAAATTTGAGTTGTTATCAATTCTGTTATAAAGTTTAAGATAAATCAAAAAATTGAAAATGATTTAAACTAAAGATTATCACGAAATAAAAGAAAAAAAATTATATAATAAAGGTTCTCATGCAAAGATAATTGAATAAAGAGTTTACTTTAAGTCAAAGTCTTTTTTATTTCTAAACTAAAGATTACCACAAAAATGAAAAAAAAATTTCTATAATGAAGGTTTTCATACAAAAATAATTAAGTAAAGAGTTCACCTTAGGTTAGAGTTTTTTTTTATTTTTATTTTTTTGGTTTATTATTAACAATAACAACTACTTGCAAACATACAAACATTAAGTTACTATTGCTATTGCACATTAAAATGAAAGAAAATGATATAGCATACCGAGCAAGCCTTTCATTTTGATACTACAAATGAACTCATTATATATTAAAAAAGCTATTAACCATCAAATAAACAGAAAAAGGTGTTGGGTACATACCTAGAATTGGGTATGGCTTGGTCAGTATCTCTTGCAAAACCAACGTAAAAATCATTGTCAAAAAGTATTTTGAAAGGTTTCACCTTCCCAAAAATTGAGTTCGATGTGCAAGAATTCTATTAGCAAAATAAAATAGAAACAAAAGGGTGGTTGTGAATGATTTTTTGAAACAATTTAAACATAGAAGATGAAATATCATTGCTTCGTAAGAAAATCAATGAATCCACATCAATTTTTTGAGTCAATGAAAGAAGTTTCTTCGATGCCTCGTACTTAAAAAAAAAAAAAGGCTCTAACAAACAATAACCCAAAGAAAAACGTAAGAGAGAGACAAAGAGTTAGGAATGGTTGGTTTTTGCATTAAAAAGATAAATGAATGTCATTTTATTCTTATTTTAAGAGTCAGATATGTCTATCATCATTGATATTTTGATCTTATCCTTTATTTGCTAAAATTAAAAAATATTATTAAAAAATTATTATATTCATTTTGTGTCTTAAAATGAATAGTTTCACATCGATGAAAACCTAAAAATAAAAAATTTAAGAATGAGTTTAAAAGTTAATTATTGATAAGACATATTCACATGTCTACACGCCTATTGTTACCAACTAATGATTATTTGACAATTTGGATATCTTTTTTCTCTAATGAGCTTATTGTACCTCCCATACTAATTACTAATAAACTTCACTCTAACAAAGACAAATGAGATAATTTCATCTTTATTTTAAAAAGGACACAGACTTCTTGTAAAAAGTGTTTGATTTTATCTTCCATATGTAAAATTTCAAAATTATTATTAATAAATCTACAAATTTCTTTTGTGTCCTAAGTTGGACACTTGTTGCGCAAGTAAGAAGTTTGTAGACAAAAACATATGGAGGTAAGATAGCATATAGTTACAGACAAAGATTATTTACATTTTCTTATTTTTTATTTTAATTTTTAATAAAAGAGTTGGAGGGGTTAGTTTTCAGTGGGTCAAGCGCACTGAGACGTTTTATTAGATATGGTTGGACGTAAAGCATTAAATTGATTCTTTGGAGACATAATAAAATATTAGCTTAACCTATTTCTTTTGTATTTTTATGAATACAAATACATACATATGCTATTACTTCTAAAAAATCAAGCTAGCCTTTTAAGTTCACGAACAGAAAAGATTTTGAGCCTTTCGTATCATTTTTGAGGGACAATGATCGATTGATCATTGGATTTCCTTATAAGAGAATTGCTTTAACAACATACAAAATTGATAAAAATGGAAAGATTACGTAAGACAAAGGAACACTTTTCACACATCCATTCTCAACTTATGGCATATCGAGAGACTAAGAAAAGATGAAAGAATTAGGCTTTGAAGATTAATTGTGGTACACCTCATAGAAGCACCCAACCCTTTAAGTTTTTGAGTTCAAATCTAAATATCCTACTGATTTGTCAGGGCAAAGCTATAGGATGGTTGGGGGTAGTTGTTTGGCAGGTGGGAAATTTTCCATGCCTATGGTTGAAAGATCGAATAGAAATTTTACTAGTGGATTCTGACATGGAATTTCTACGCCGTCGGAAGAACCCATTATGCCATTCCACCATTTTTTTTTCTCCGAAGTTTTTAGTGATAGAGATAGAATGGGAAAGAAAGCCAGAGCGGCAAAGAGAGGTCAATTTTGGTGATTAGCCTAAGTGGTGCACTAAGAAATCTTTGTGCCCCGCACACTGTTGACCAAATTGCTATGCATATGGCTAGAATTTTAAGTTGTCAGTAAATAATGCAAGTATTTTACGATTATATCTATAAGAAATGGGATTAGTATTCTGTACATGGAAAAGCGAATACCAAGATTACATTTACACTCTTAAATATATAATTAGTTTTTTTTTTTTTAAATTATATTTTAAATATTAAAGCAGCAAAATTTTTATGTCTAATTTTGATGGATGATCCTGTATAGACAAATATCATTGTATTTTAAATAAATACACTTATTTGATGTATGGATGATACATTTTTTTCATTTTAAAATATGACACAAAAAAAGTTATTTTTTATTTTAATTTAAAAAATTAATATTTTAAAATCAATATGAGATGTCAATGTAGAATCCTATGATTTTCTTTTCATTTTTTTATTTTTACTTTTTTGTATTTATTATTTTTATTAAATAAATTTTATGAAAAAATATAAATTAAGATATTCTCATGTTATTTTTATTTATCTTTTTTATCTGTTATTTTTTAATTAGGTAAAATTTATAAAAAAAAAAAAAATTATGCGGTGCATAAAGATATCAAAACAAAAAAATTTTACCCTTGCAAGTATGTAATTAAATATTTAATTTTGTTGGATCGATCAAAGCTTATATGCGCAGAGAAATTTCAAAAGCAACCTATATACATGTGAAAGTTTCTCAAATTCATTAATACAGATCAGATATCCTTATCAACTTCCTTTTCAATAGTTTAAATTTAAAAGGTTTTATTTGCAGCCCTGTTTTCTTATAGAATGAATGTCACGTCTGTATAAAATATATGAACCTGATGTTATTGTTGGGAGCATCAAGGCTCCTTGTTCCCTGAATCCCACATGCCATGAACATTGGTTTGCATCAAAACCCAGATTAAGTTACTTGAAACTTAAAGTAAAGAATATAATCTTTGCCCAAAAGTCTATGGTTTAGGATTTTGATACGTGAAAGAACCTTCACAGAATGTACCACGCGGGGAAAAATTCGCAGCCTTATTGGACCATTAACCCTCAACTTCTCACATAAATTTCTTCCCATTCCAGCAAATTAAAGTGTTTAACAACGGGGCAATTTGGGAAGTAAGCATAAAACCCAAATTAAGCAGAGAAATCTTGTTTGTCTTAAATGTATGTCAGAACCTAGCTAGGAAGGTTAAAGAAACAACACTGTTTCCTTTGCATGTGATTTATGTTCCCTCCCCTGTGTTTTCTGATAGAGAAGCCTTCTCTCTTGTCTCTTACTCATCCTTACATATTCTTTTCTCTCCTTTTTATCTCTGAAAGAAGTCCAAATCTTAGATTTAAGTTTTAGTATTGTATAAACAAATGAACCTTTAAAACAGTTCTTTCAATTTCCCTTCTCCAAACCATGTCTCCCTCTCAAACTCATCAAGCCATGTCTACTTCTTCTTCTATCTGGTTCCTTTCTTGTAGAAAACTTAAGTTCTTTACTAGAATCCGTAGGTTTTTGCAATCCAAAGCAGCAAGGAAACGTTACGGGTCATCATCATCTGAACATTCAAACAAGTTAATAATAAAAAACTACACTGATAAAGAGGAAGATCAGCTAGATATGGAGAAAGAAAGCGAGCTCGATGGTTCCGTGGTGTTGCAAAAATCTGTGAAGATGCTTCACTTTGGGAGCTGGGAAGAGAAAGAGATGGCTGCTAAGGCGATCGAGAAACTCGCTAAAGAAGATATTAAGACAAGGAAGTTGATGGCAGAGCTTGGAGTTATACATATGCTTGTGTCTATGGTGGCTACTGATGTGGTTGGCCGCCGTCGGGCCGCCATCAAGGCCTTGATCGAGCTTGCAAATGGAACTTTTACGTAAGTTTTCCTATATTTTTCACAATTTATGTTGATTTCTTTTTTTCTTTTTTGTATTTTGAGTCAAAGAAAAAGTAAGGGTTGAATTCATGGCTTCCGTTCTTATTTTTATTTTGCAATTATGTGAAATACGGTCAGCTTTCAAGTTTTTACTTGGTAGATATAATTCTTATAGTTGGATAGTTTAACATAATCATAAATGATTTTTAACATAACATGAATGATTGAATTTCCGAGGTATGAAGTAATATACCTTGGGATAGAAATATAATTAGAGGGATGGGACTGGACAGGGGAAAGGACTCTTCTCCTTGTCCTTGAAGTTGTAGTTTTTTGTTTTTCCATTCAGAAAAAGATGCTGCAATGAAAAAGAAAGTTGTACATAAGGCTTTGCAATAATGGAGCTTTGTTTTGTTTTTGTCAGGATCTCAATATGCATAGGTAACATACATTTCATCAGGATTGGGAAAAGGGGTCCATATGGTTGATCAAATTCATAATATTTAAAAATTGTGGATTAATTATAGTACAAACTTCAATACATATCACATTTCCAAAATGTTTAGAAGACAGAAAATTGTTCTAATCCCAAAATATTAGTACTGTTTTAATTCTATTATTCTTTTTAGCTTACGTATTTCTAAGTTTGTTATTAGTTAATAAAATGGAAACTTTTTTATTTATGAATTAATTTCCCCAATTGAAATAAAGAAAATGATTTTGAGTGGAGCCTATTGGGGAGGCACCGGAATTATTTGACCTTTTAAGGTCAGGGTACCTCACATGGTAGGTCATTTGCCTAATTTAGATTGGCAGTTTGGACAGACGGGAAATTTGGTCCCCAGATTCTCAGCTGCTTTGCATTTTGCTGACATTAATGACGGCATATTACCCTCTTTGGTTTTAAGCCTAAATCTCCCTCATCCACCCTCCAGTCCAGGCTGTTACATTTTAATAATCATAGGCTATCCATTCCTTTTGAATTCATGGTAGTAGTCTTTGGGGTTTGTTCTCAGTTAAATTCTTACTCTGGACTAATCAAAACAGAGCAATTAATCTATAGATTCTGAGTTGTTTACTTTTAAAATGGGTTTAAATATATACCATTTGCATTTCAGATGATGAGACTTGTCATGTGTAATAGAGCATATACCTTTAGCCTTCTGGAACTTTTAAACATTAATGGCAATGAAAATGAAATGAAATTTACAGATCTGGGCACTACTTGGAAGCAGTGATTCTGTAATTAAGTAAATGCTTTTAATAATCCTGAAATCCAGAGGCCGCAAGGTGCGCTGCCTGTCCACCAGGTTCCCATGGTGGTAGGAGTTGGAAGAACAATAATAATGTTAGCAAAGAGACAATGTTGTCTCCAAAGAAATAGAGAGAGATATTGCTAACAACCGGATATAGTGTATTTGATCAGATTCATATGATATTATTCTGAACAATTAAGAAAAATAATCAGTATTGTTGACCCTCACCTTCCTACCCTGATCTAAATCTCGGATTCTCATTGACTTCTCTGTTGTATCGGTTTATTTTATTGACTGGTTAGTTCTGCTCCCACATTTTTTTCCCTATTTGGGGAGTTCTATTTTGTGCAATAATGGAGCACTTTTGGCTTATCATCTCATCTACCCATAAAATTACTGTTCTTTCGTCTATCATTCAACTGAAGTTTCGATGTCATTGTTGACTTTATCTTTTGGGTTGTTATTATATTTGGTAAACCTCAAGTTAGATCAAATGTCTAATCACTTTCTGCTATTCTTCCTAATCTTTTTTCTCTTCTCTTTCTTTGTCTTTGCTTCAGAAACAAGGCTTTAATGCTAGAGGCTGGAATATTATCGAAGTTACCAAAAGACATTAATGTTATAGAAGAACAAACGAGGCACGAATTTGCAGAACTGTTATCATCATTATCTTCTATATCAAATACCCACTTCTCTCTAGCCACATCTGAGATCCTCCAGTTTCTCATTGGCATTCTTGAGTCAGCCTCCAACCTTGAAACTAAGGAGTCTTGTTTAGGTGTTCTATACAAACTGTCTGCTGTGGTAGAAAATGCTGGACCTATGGTATCTAATGGAATCGTGCACACTCTCTTGAAGCTATCTTCATTCAAAGAACTTTCAGAAAAGGCACTTGCAGCACTAGGTCACTTGGTGGTGACCTTAATGGGAAAAAAGGCCATGGAAGATAGTTCAGTGGTACCAGAGAGCTTGATTGAGATTTTAACATGGGAGGATAAACCCATATGCCAAGAATTATCAGCTTACATTCTAATGATTTTAGCTCATCAAAGCTCAACACAAAGGGATAAAATGTCAAAGGCAGGAATTGTTCCTGTAATTCTTGAAGTGTCCTTATTGGGAAGCCCTTTAGCTCAAAAGAGAGCAATGAAATTATTACAATGGTTTAAAGATGAAAGGCAAGCAAAGATGGGACCTCATTCTGGACCACAAACAGGAAGGGTTGCAATTGGTTCACCTCTGCATCCAAGGGAGGCTCAGGAAGGAAAGAAAATGATGAAGAATCTGGTGAAGCAAAGTCTTCTAAAGAATATGGAAATGATCACCCGAAGAGCCAATGCTGCTGGTGATTCTTCTAATCTCAAGTCCTTGGTACTCAGCACAAGCTCTAAAAGCTTGCCTTACTAAACTGTTTTCTGTAACACTTTGATGATCAATTTTTGTGTTTCGAAATTGGAGTGCAATTCTTTTGCAATGGCATGTAATTATTGCAAATGATGGGAAAGATAACGAAGGTTTTCCCCACATAGATGGAAGAATTCAGCAACTTTGTGAAAGAATGCACTAAATCCTTCGTTCAGCCGCCGCCCATTGGAACCACCACAAACGGTTCTTCTGCCTCCCTTTCCTATTTTTCCCACTTTCTACCCACCCCAAATCCTAAACTCTCAAAACCAAAACTCTAAGCACACTTCCCCTTTCTTTCTTTCGATTTTTTTTTTCTGACAATTGATTGTGTTCCCTATTTTTTTTCCTGGGTGAAAATTTTTTGGATAAAAAAAGATGGGAATTTTATTTTGTAATGGGGGTTTTGGATCGTAAATTTGATGATGCTTTTTGTAATGGTAGATTTTCGAGTTAGAAACGTTACTAGTGGTAAAAAATTGGGATTTTTTTTTTTTTTTGGGGGTTAGAAAGTGTAAAACATTTATAAAAAAAAAAAAATGACAAAAGAGAAAACCGGTTCAAAGTCGAAACCATAAACATAGTACACGATGATTGTTAAGACAAGAATCACTTAAGCAACAAACAACACTTCCAACTTGGTAACTTCAGTACATGGTTACAGCAAAATCTTTGTCATGTTAGGGAAAGAGTCAAGTGCGGCCAATTTCTTTTTCAAAATCTCTCGACCAAACATAAATTGAAGGTATATTAATTGTAATGTAATTAATTAATTATAAATTGATACTATACAAAACTTATAATAAAATTATATAATGTTTACAATTTTAAATAATAAAATCTTATATTCTTTTATAATTAATTAATTAATTATAATATTATAATAAATAAAAATATAAGTAAAATACTTTCATGTAAACAAGTACTCTTTCCACTACTCTTGCGTCTGTCCTTCCTCAGTCTATTTCTCTCTCACTGTTTTGTCGGGACCTCTCTGTCCTTGACCGCCCGAAACTTTCCCTTCCTTCTTAAAATCAATTCATAATATTTTTACTAGTTAATAAATACTAATATTAATGATTTATTATTTGCCGTCTTTCATTTTTTATTTTTTTTTTTTTTTTTTTGAGAAATATTAGCCGTATTTCCTTATTCTACTCGCCTTGGCCTACTAGGAGTTGGGGTTTGGACCAAGTGAACTAGGGTTTAATTCGGAATCTTCCCCTCTTCTACGCCTAAGAAAACCTGTATGTCTGTTCAAAGTTTTCAACTTTTTTCTTTCTTAATTTATTTAAGCCTTTTTTTATTAATCCCACGCTTTTGCCCAGCCCGCGGTAACAAGTCTCAAAGGTCTTTGAAATTGATCATTTAAACTTTGGGTTATTTATTTTTATCTGCTAATAATTTAACCGTTTACTAATAATAATGTTTCTGTTTGTTGATCATCTGGGTGTTTTTTTTTCCTGTGTTAAAATTTTCTGCTTCTGCATATTGATCATATGATTAGTTTTTTTTTTTTTCTTTTCTTATTTTAGTTTATGAATTCTTTTTCTTTGGCTCAAGTTTGTGTTTGTTTATTATTTTTTATGTTTTGGTTTTGAAGAAGACTTGTTTCTCTTGGACTTGGACAATCACAGCTTTGGGTTTATTGCTTGTCATTACTTTTTGGGGTTAAATTTGGAAGTTTTGATGGTCAAATTGAGATTGGTACTTCAAACTTTTATCAAATTCTGTCTGCATTGCAACTTATATAAAATTTTGATCAGTTGGGTTCACTCTTCTGTCGTGAGTTGTTAAAATTTTGAAGCAGTCCCTCTTTATTTTACTGTTGAATAGACCTTTACCCATTTAAGAAACTTAAATTGGGAATAAAGGAATTCACTGCATGTTAAAAGGAGCTAGTTTTGATTGTAATTATTTCATACTCTCTATCCTAATTTCTGTTTTCTTATATCAACTCAAAAATTTCAAAACTCTATAACCATTTGGTTTAATTCAGTTATAAAGGTTGCAACTTGAAACAAAGACTTCCAGATGCTTTCAACTGCAAGACCACATTTTTTTGACATGTTTACATGTTCTTTAACTAGTTGGTCCCCAAATCTTAATTTGTTTTTGTGATCTCAACTTGTTTTTACTGAAATATATTCTCTGTCCTAGATTTGAATTATGATCATTGATCACGAGCACTGCTGAAAATATGATGTTGTAGCATCTGTATCTGGGCAATAAAGTTTTGACTAGTTGATGAAACGTTTCTTGTTTGTACTTGGATATGGAGTTTCACTAATTAATTCTTGAATTATGGCATTATGCAGTTCATGTAACGTCCAAGTATGAGGTAAATTGATTAAACCTGCTTCTGTATCTGAAAATTGCATTAAAGCATCCTTGTGATTGTTCAATATGGATAGCAAATCTAAAGGCATAGCCTGGGTTGGCAACATCTATCAGAAGTTTGAAGCTATGTGCATGGAGGTGGATGATATAGTGTGCCAGGTATTGATTACCATTCATCCTTTTGCCCTTGTAAAATTAAAATATCAACACTTCTGTTGCTTTATGTACATTAATAAAGTTCATTTTTATTGCTTTTATTGTCTGTATCTTAATGAGCTTTTCCAATGCTGCTAATATCTCATAATTTTGATGGCATTCTTGGATAGGAAACATTGAAATATGTTGAAGACCAGCTGCAGACTGTGGGTGCTAATGTTAAACATTTCTGCACAGAATTAATACATGAGGTGCTCCCTTCATCTCCTATCAATTCGATGGAAGAGCTTAACTCATCTCTGGTGCAAAATGCTGGCGTCACAGCCAATGAATATTTGAACATAAGTGTTGATGAAGATCACTCTCACAAGGAACTGATCCATTCCTTTTTCGTCGAATCTGTTGAGGATGTGCACTTTGGTTTATCTTCGGAGCCAAGTACAGAGGATGAGAGTGCCCTAGCTCATTGTGCAGGCATCATACCATCCGACTCTGTAATTTTGGTTCAAGCTTTTGAGAATGAAGCTCGTGACATTGATTCTACTCTACATGACACCTCATTAGAATCAAAGGGTAGTTATTCTATTTGTATGATATATCAGTTTATCTTTAGGTTTCTTTAATGCTCTTTGTTAATTCCCATATATGCTGCCCCAGAAACCACCAAAAACCATGCAAGCAGTCATTATCTAAGAGTAAGGGTTGTTTCCACATTAAATTAACATAATTAGTTGTATTCTGTTCTGAAATCAAAGGAAGAAAACCTCAATGTTTTAGTTAAAGTACTTTTTACCGTTATACTGAAAGTAAATGATTTTGTTGCAGAAGAGGCTAGCCATAAATCTGTTTCAAAAGTGGAACTGGAAGCTGTTCCTGTTCCATCTTTTGATAAGGTAAAGCTCGAAGAAAGCTGCGTTATAGTAGACGGAAGTGAGCTTCATTCCTTCTCTAATAAATTAAGAGAAAGCCGGTCATTCAAGGTAGGATACTGTCTCCCTCCCTCCAACTTTGTTCTTTGGGTAAATTCAGGCTCCTCGCAGAAGTTTAGCTTGATTTGAACACCTCTGCCAGAGACAAGCTTTTTTCCTACTTTTGTTAGTTGAATCTGACATTTTATGTTCTTTTCTGGAACAGAAGAAGTTTCGGGAGGCTTTTTCTTCTAAGACAAGGTTTGCGAAGTGGAAAAATGAGCAGCATGCTGGATCTAGTAAGGAGAAAGGAAACAGTGCTGAACTATCCAGTCAAACCAACAAATCTGAATCACAAGACATGGAATTTTATGAATCAGATTGGGAGATTGTTTAGATAAAGTTAAATTGGTTTTTGTTTATGGCCTTTGTTGCGCAGATAAAATAATAAGAATGTAGACAAACGTTCTTAATGAATGAGACTGGAATTTCCCTCGGTTAAAATGTATAGATAGAGAAGGAGAGAATTAGGCACTCGAGTAAGCTTGAGGAAACCCAAACTGTTGGACCGATTGAAACTTGTTTTGTGTAAATTGCGGTAGGCTTTTTAGCTGTTACTGCGAATTGTGTGTATGTGTGTGTTTTTTTGCCTTGGTTATGATAAATTCCATTAATGCTAACTGTTTCATTGCCTGAAAATGGAAAAATCCATTGGGAAATCAGGCTTCAAGGTGAGGAGTAGGCCCTTTTAAGCTCAAGGCTTTGTCCGATGGGTTTAATTTTGCTGAGTAAATAATAGTAAAAGAAAGTTAAAAATTTCTTCAACTTCTGATCTCTAAAATAATTATGTTTTTATTGACATTAATTTTAACTATTTCACAATATTAATCAAATAATAGTAGTATAATTTTACCTTTTGATTACAAACAGGCATCAAGCAACGTGCAAAAACTCATTGGTTCTCTCCCGTTTCATCGTGACCGTCAATATCCAATCATGGGATCCACCAAACTACTATGAACAGTGGTACACAAAAGTTCAAAAGATTAAATCAAATTTTTAGTTTTCTATTTTTTTTTTTTACAAAAAGTAGAAAAAAATTTAAATTTTATGTGCACGTCGAATGAGGATAGAAACAACTTTTTGAATGGACGTTCTGTTCCAGGTTAGAAAATTGGAAGTATTATCACTTTGAACTTTGTCCTTCATCTGCCAACTGCCATTACAGATGCTCTGAATCATACGTACGGAGATTCTCATAATTGTTTAAAAAAACCATTGTGAGTGAATAGAGATGATAATCTCTGCATAGGTTACGATGTGATGACTGCTTTAATTGATTCTTATTATTGCAATCTACAAATATATGAGTTGTTCAAATTAGCTTAGTGGTTTTTTAATGTATCTATTATGAAATTGAAAACATTTTCCTTAATCAAGATAGAAGTACATACGTGAAGAAGAATGAATATTCTCTTGTGCCAAAAAAAAAAAAGAAAAAAGGAAAACAGAAAGAAGATTGAGTAATCTCATTTATTGCAGTGAATGTCTCTGTGCAGCCAAGTAAGTATCAAAGACGGTGAAATTTCCATTAGACATTCAAAGCTTTTCTTGCCAGGGAATCTTTAACGTGGTATGTTTGCCTATAACCATAATTTGACTATTATTAAACCAATTTCTTGCTACTGCTAAGGCGAACCTACTCACAGAGTTAAAAAGAATTTAAAAAATCCCTGCTATTTCCTTGAGTTCCCTGTTAAGTTAGTTCACTATCTGGTGCCTCTGTCCTATCATCAGGAAGCTATTTGGCACCTTGATTAACAGCCTTGTTTTTGTCTCCAAAATGGCCTCTGTTGCAAAAGTTGGGTTGCCTAATAGGGAATGCCTACCCTTTCTGGTCTAATGCAAGCATCTTGATTAGTGTTACAATCCATAGACTCAAGCAGAGTGTTCTATTTTAACATTTTTCAACCTCATATTCTATATGATATGATAACAAACTACATTAATTTGGTTCTCGGGAGGTCATTGTTGATTCATATATGACCCAAAGGTGGGCATAATTTTTGATCCAGAGTCGTTGATAAATGCTCTTGGCAATCTGGTGAGCAGATACACGAGGACACAGGATTAATTAAACTTGAACTTATGAATGGTTTCAAGTAGAGCAAAATATTTTTGCGTGTCTACGAAATCCTTCTATCAGATTTTAAACGAGGTATGTGGAATGGGAAATTAAACTTCAGCAGCCTATTTGAAATAACTTACACATGTTGTCTTTCCTCCCCACTCTAAATGTGCTGCAACTTCTCTTCTTACTGAGATTAATATCGTATAATACGTGGTTGACAGGTATTTATGGCTCATCAGAGGAAAACAATTGATACCATATAACCTGTACAAAATTGACGTGCACTAGATTTTTCAAGTTATACTGTACTTTCTGGGAAGTTTGTAGTATTTCACTTATATAAGATAAATACATCCGTTGGGTCCCAAGTCTATACTATGTTCAAACTCATTTGCAATCAAGTATTTCAAATTTTTTAATTTCTGCTTTGAATTTTTCGACTTGTCCTTTGATTAGTGGACTCATATAGCTTTCAGTTACTATGTTTTACTTTAATTATGCAATAATTCAAAACACGTTGAACCTCCTTTTATCATGGTCATACAATCATTGTAGGCTATCTTGGAGTTGGCATTAACCTGATTAGCACGGTTTCCATTACCACTTTTTTGAAGACCTCAACTTGACCATACATGGATTCCATGGTACCCAAAAGTAGTTCACAATGCTTTTAGCGATGCAAGCAATGACCAGTCTGCTTGATTGGATTCCGCAATTTCCTCCATTAATTATGTCTAAGGTTCATACAACTTTTAAAGGTCAAATTATATAGTAGTTCTTATTTTTTTATCAAAATTTAAAATCTAATCTTTCTCCTATTATTTAAAAATATATAATTTTTTTTATTATTTTGATTTAATAATTTTAATTCAATTATTAATCCAGTAAAATTTTGCTTTTAAAAATATTGATATAAGTGTTGATTTGATGACATAAGTTTTGGTGTTGCTTACATGGTATTGATTTTGCTAACATGACAATATAAATAAATGAAATTAGTTATTAAACTATGCAAATAGTTTTCATATTCTCACAAAATTTGAATTTTAGTCTCTTTAGTATAATTTATAAAAATCTTGTTCTCTTACAAATTGAATTTGATAATATTAATCAAATTACGAATGTAATTAATTATTCTCCCATAATTTTGTTGAAGTAGTTTTCTTTTTTTTGAAAAAACTTAAAAAATTAAAAAGTCTTAAAAAAATTAAAAATAAATATGTAAAAAATTAAAAATTAAAAAAAAAACTGACTTTTTAAAATTTTTTGGATTTTTTCAAAACATGGAAATATTTTTTACATTATTTTATTTTTAAAAAATAATATTTCATGAATTTTTTTAAAAAATAAGGTCTTACTCTAAAAAAATTCAAATTTATTAATTATTTAGAAATTTTCTTCAATTTTAAAACTATTAAATTTCAATATTTCAATATTATAATTACTTTGAGAATAATATTATTTTTTTATTTTTTAAAAATCATATCCCAATTTTTTAAAAAAATATTTTTCAATTTTTAGTTACCAACTTTTTAAAATATTAAAATTGTTGCTTTCAAAAAGTAAAAAAATGATAAAAATTAACATATTTAAATTTTAAAAAATATTAATTTCTTTAAACAATGAATATTGTTAAATATTTTGAAATTCAAAAAATTAAAAATTATTTTTTAAAAATTAAAATTGATTTTTCATGAAAATTCAAAAAATATTATCCTTAAAAAAAACAAAAATATTTTTAAAAAATAAAATTAATATTTTCAAAATAAAAAAATTCTAAATAATTCTAAATTTTTATTTTTTAAAAATATTGAAATCTGATTGTTAAAAAAATAAAAAAATATAATTTTTTAAAAAATTAAAATATTTGAAAAAAATAAAATTTAATTTCTCTATAAATTTGATTAAAAAAGCCTAAAAATAATTTTTTTTAATTTTAGGGGATTTTTTAATTGTTTAGATTTTTTTAAAAAATGTTTTTAGGACTTTTTTTATAATTTTTATATGATTTTAAAAATAAAAATCACATTAATAAAGTTAATAGAAAGTAATTAATTGTATTATTAATTAGATCAATAATATTAAATTTAACATTTAAAGCACAAAATTTTATGAATTATATTAAAGAGACTAAAATTCAAATTTTTTGTAAGTATAGGAACTGTTTGCATAATTTGGTAATTAATTTCATTTATCCATGTTGCGACATTAGCAAAATCAATATCATGTTAATAAAATAAACATTTACATCATCCTGTCAACGATCACGCTAATAATTTTAACAATAAAACTTTGACAAAATTAATGATTATATTAAGATCACGCTAATATCTTTAACGCGGTATGTTTGCCTATAACCATAATTTGACTATTATTAAACCAATTTCTTGCTACTGCTAAGGCGAATCTACTCACAGAGATGAAAAGAATTTAAAAAATCCCTGCTATTTCCTTGAGTTCCTGTTAAGTTAGTTCACTGTCTGGTGCGTCTGTCAGATCATCAGGAAGCTATTTGACACCTTGATTAACAGCCTTGTTTTTGTCTCCAAAATGGCCTCTGTTGCAAAAGTTGGGTTCATGCAAGCATCTTGATTAGTGTTACAATCCATAGACTCAAGCAGAGTGTTCTATTTTAACATTTTTCAACCTCATATTCTATATGATATGATAACAAACTGCAATAATTCGGTTCTCTGGAGGTCATTGTTGATTCATACATGACCCAAAGGTGGGCATAATTTTTTATCCAGAGTCGTTGATAAATGCTCTTGGCAATCTGGTGAGCAGATACACGAGGATACAGGATTAATTAAACTTGAACTTATAAATAGTTTCAAGTAGAAAAAATATTTTTGCGTGTCTACGAAATCCTTCTATCAGATTTTATATAAGGTATGTAGAATGGGAAATTAAACTTCAGCAGCCTGTTTGAAATAACTTACACATGTTGTCTTTCCTCCCACTCTAAATATGCTGCAACTTCTCTTCCTACTGAGATTAATATTGTATAATACGTGGTTGACAGGTATTTATGGCTCATCAGAGGAAAACAGTTGATACCATATAACCTGTGCAAAATTAACGTGCACTAGATTTTTCAAGTTATAGTGTACTTTCTGGGAAGTTTGCAGTATTTCACTTATATAAGATAAATACATCCGTTGGGCCCCAAGTCTATACTATGTTCAAACTCATTTGCTATCAAGTATTTCAAATTTTTTTAATTTCTGCTTTGAATTTTTCGACTTGTCCTTTGATTAGTGGATTCATATAGCTTTCAATTTCTATGTTTTACTTTAATTATGCAACAATTCAAAACACGTGGAACCTATCTTGGAGTTGGCATTAACAATTAGCACGGTTTCCATTGCCAGTTTTTTGAAGACCAAGTTGACCGTGCGTTGATTCCATGGTACCCAAAAGTAGTTCACAATGCTTTTGGCGATGAAAACAATGACCTGTCTGCTTGATTGGATACCGCAATTTCCTCCATTAATTATGTCTAAAGTTCAGAGACGACTTTCGATGGTCAAATTATATAATAGTTCTTATTTTTTAACTAAATTTAAAATTTAATCTCTCTACTATAATTTATAAAATATATATTTTTTATTTTGATTTGATAATTTTAATTTAATTATTAATCTAGTAAAATTTTGCTGTTAAAAATATTGATATAGGTGTTGACTTGATACACAAATATTGGTATTGCTTGCGTGATATTAATTTTGCTAATATGACAATATAAATAAAAAACATTAGTCATTAAATTATGTAAATAATTTTTATATTCACAAGAAATTTTAATTTTAGTCTTTTAAAAATAATTTAAAATAATATCGTTCTCATACAAGTTGAATCTAATAATATTAATTCAATTATTAATGTGATCAATTACTTTCCGTTGACTTTACTAACGTAAGTTTTTTTAATTTTTTTTAAATTAAAAAGTATTAAAAAATAAAAAATAAAATATCTAAAAATTAAAAATTAAAAAAATTTATTTTTTAAATTCTTTTTGGATTTTTTTAAAACATGGAAATATGTTTTCCAAAATTTTAATTTTTTTAAAAATAATATTTCTTGAATTTTATTTTAAAAATAAGGCCTTAATCTAAAAACAATTTAAATTTATTAATTATTTAGAAATTTTATTCATTTTAAAACTATTGAATTTCAATTTTTCAATATTATAATTACTTTGAGAAAAATAATATTTCTTTTATTTTTAAAAAAATCATATTCCAATTTTTTAAAAAAAATATTTTGAATTTTTAGTTACCAATTTTTCAAATATTAAATTTAATTTTTTTTAAAATACTTAATTGTAAAATATTAAATTTGGTACTTTCGAAAAGTCAAAAAATCCATAAAAATAAACATATTTAAATTTAAAAAAATATTAATTTTTTTAAAAAAATAAATATTGTTAAATATTTTGAAATTCTAAAAAGTAAAAATTAGTTTTTAAAAATTAAAATTGATTTTTCATTAAAATTCAAAAAAATTATCTTTTAAAAAATAAAATATTTTAAAAAATAGAATTAATATTTTCAAAATAAAAAAATTCTAAATAATTCAATTTTTTATTTTTTTAAAAAATTGAAATCCAAATGTTAAAAAAATTCAAAAAAATAAGATTTTTAAAAAATTAAAAAATTTGAACAAAATCAAATTTAATGTTTTTATAAATTAAAAAAAAAGCCTAAAAATAATTTTTTAAAATTTTTGGGGATTTTTTAATTGTTTAGATTTTTTAAAAAAAACGATTTTAGGACTTTTTTTTCTAATTTTTATATGATTTTAAAAATAAAAATTACATTAATAAAGTTAATAGAAAGTAATTAATTGAATTATTGATTAGATCAATAATATTAAATTTAACATTCATAAGGACAAAGTTTTATAAATTATAATAAAGAGACTAAAATTTAATTTTTTTTTGTGAGTATTAGGACTATTTGCATAATTTGATAACAAATTCCATTCATCCATATTATGGTATTAGCAAAGTTAATATCATGTCAACAAGATAAACGTCTACATCATTAAGTCAACAGTCATGTTAATATTTTTAACGAAAAAAATTTGACAAAATTAATTATTAGATTAAGATTATCAAATTAAAATAATAGATAACTATACTTCTATGAATTATAATAAAAAAATTAAATTTTAAATTTCATTAAAGTACTAAAAACAACTTTTAAAACATAAGTTTATATTTGATACACTGTCAGTATATAAATTTTATATACTGTCAGTAAATCAAATGATACTACTTTATTAATGAGTAAATATCAATATCTAAAATAAATATATAAAAATTAAAATATTACCACTTCATTAATGAGTAAATAACATTCATTAAAATAAATATACAAAAATTAATATGTTTTAAAAAATTTAATGATATGACATTATCTTATTTACTTTATTAATGAGATAATATCATTTTATTAATTGATAATATATAAAATCTATATATTAACAATATATCATATATAAATCCTTAAAATATTGTGAAAGTTTTTAACCTTTCATCTTTTCATGCTTCAGCTAGTTACGTATTGGATGGATTACGGACCAAGTGCCAGGAAAATGTTACGTTTAAAACTTCTCCAACTTTCTTTGATTTGATTTGATGAATTAGATTAGGAAATATAATATTTTTGAGGTAGATTTTTCTAAAGAAGAAGGACCTTTACAGTCTGGTCTGAAATCGAGAAAAAAAAAGGCTGTGACTTGCATAAAAAATCTATAGAAAGAAAGCAAAACGTGAACGCTGGAGTTTTAACAACAAGAAAGCAATCAAATTGCATTCAATTGGTTCCTCATGTATTCTGCAGCTGTAGACGTGACTCAATTAAGCAGTATATATTGACCTTAATCTATCAACTAATTGTGTTTCCGTGCCTTTTGAGCTAGAAGTTCTACACACACTTACAAAGTAAACAAGAATCAAGTCTTGCAGAAATTGCTTTGTGTTTCATCAAAAAAAAAAAAAAAGAAGAAAAAGAATAAACAGTACGCTTGTAAATATTTAGCTTTTGTATTCTTTGCCCTCTTTTTAATTTGTTCTTTAAATATTTTGTAAATTCGATTCCAAAAACATAAAACTATAAAAAATGGGAAATTAAGAAAACCAGAGAAAATTAGCTAGTGATTTTGAGAACATCATTATTAAAAATTTATATCTTCTAAGAAAAATTAAATGTGATTCATTTCAAAAAATGACGAGGATAATACATAAGAAAGACGAGCAAACAACAATTGGCGCAAAAGTGAAAATTTATGCACACAAAACCCACAAGTCATGAAGATTCTCAAAATTTGAAAATATCTTTGGAAAGTGTCTGAATCATTAGCTGGGATTAGTTCTATGAACTTGACGAAGGCATCATCTTAGTGAAGTCAATCAGGTGGTATGTCTAACGTACTCAACACTTACATAGTGGCTGGCTACCCCCAAAAAATATTTCCAGGTTTCACACTTAGATAAACATTGTTTGGCAAGCAGAAGATTGATTAATTTTCTGCAACATATGGACCGATTATTAGATCATAAGAGTCTCTTGTAAACTACTATATATATTGACCTTAATCTATCAACTAATTGTGTTTACGTGCCTTCTGAGCTAGAAGTTTACACACACTTACAAAGTAAACAAGAATCAAGTCTTGCAGAAATTGCTTTCTGTTTTATCGAAAAAAAAAAAAAGAAAAAGAATAAACAGTACGCTTGCAAATATTTAGTTTATGTATTCTTTGCCCTCTTTTTAATTTGTTCTTTAAATATTTTGTAAATTCGATTCCAAAAAGATAAAACTCTAAAAAATGGAAAATTAAGAAAACCAGAGAAAATTAGCTAGTGATTTTGAGAACATCATTTTTAAAAATCTATATCTTCTTAGAAAAATTCACATATGAAATGTGATTCATTTCAGAAAATGACGAGGATAATGCGTCAGAAAGACGAAGAAACAACAATTGGCGCAAAAGTGAAATTATATGCACACAAGACCCACAAGTCATGAAGATTCTCCAAATTTGAAATTATCTTTGGAAAGTGTCTGAATCATTAGCTGGGATTAGTTCTCTGAACATGACAAAGGCATCATCTTAGTGATGTCAATCGGATGCCATGTCGAACTTACTCAACACTTACATAGTGGCTGGCTACCCCCCAAAAATATTTCCAGGTTTCACACTCAGATAAACATTGTTTGGCAAGCAGAAGATTGATTAATTTTCTGCAACATATGGACCGATTATTAGATCATAAGAGTCCCTTGTAAACTACTATATATACCTGACATTGGGTGCTTATTTCTTCACAGCTATACAATTTAGTAAAAACTCTACTTTCTTTTTTTTCTTCACTGTGTAAACAATGACTCTAAGCCTTGTCTTGTTTTTCATTTTCGGGACTTTGGCATCTCATGCCATTTCCCGCACATTGCCTGAAGCTGCCATTGCTAACAAACATGAGCAATGGATGGCACGTTTTGGTCGTGTTTATGAGAACCAATCCGAGAAGGACAAGCGTTTTAAGATATTCAAGGACAACTTGGAATATATAGAGAACTTCAACAATGCAGGGAACAGGACTTATAAGTTAAGCATTAATGAGTTCGCAGACTTTACTCATGATGAATTCCTAGCGGCTCGTACTGGCTACAAGAAGAGGGACAACCCAACAACAACGACCACAACATCATCATTTAGGTATGAAGCCGTGACAGAAGTTCCAACAAGCTTGGATTGGAGGGAGAAAGGTGCTGTCACCTCTGTTAAGGACCAGGGCGAATGTGGTAAGGCCTAAGATTAAGAACATCCTCTCAATTCTCTTATCTCAAAAAGTTTGACTCCAACAAGTCACTTAACAAGAGGTATTTTGTTTTGTAGGATGTTGCTGGGCATTTTCAGCAGTGGCAGCCATGGAAGGGATTGCCCAGATTAAAACTGGTAAGTTGATCTCAATGTCTGAGCAACAACTACTGGACTGCAGCACAAACGGCGGCAACGAGGGTTGCAATGGTGGTTGGATGACAAATGCATTCCAATACATTATTGAAAACCAGGGTCTAACCACAGAGGAAAACTACCCATACGTGGAAACGCAGGCAACTTGTGCCATGGAGAAGGCGCAAGCCCAAGTTACTGACATCAGTGACTATGAGGAGGTACCTTCCAATGATGAGGAAGCATTACTTAAAGCTGTAACAAACCAACCTGTCTCAATTGCCATTGACGGGAGTGGAAGAGACTTTAAATTTTACTCGGAAGGAGTTTTCAGTGGAGAATGCGGGAATTCTATGTCTCATGCTGTCACTATTATTGGATATGGGACTAGTGAAGACGGTACAAAGTATTGGTTGATCAAGAATTCATGGGGAGAAAGTTGGGGTGAGAATGGCTACATGAGGATCCTGAGAGATTTTGACAGCCCCGAAGGTCTATGCGGCCTCGCCGAGGAAGCTTCCTATCCAACTATCTAATTAATTAGTTGCTATATATATGTTTCCCATAGGTGATATATAGCGGACATGTCTTCTTACGTCCAGAATCACTGCTTGTTTTCCATTTCAAATATTGTGAGTGTTGTTAGATTTGAGCTTGCTGATTGATGCATAAACATCTAAGCATCAATATAAAATAAATTGATGATAAGTATTATTGAATGATGATACAGTATTGTGCTTATCTATTTATTCTGCTTAACTTAAATTCTTGACACAACCCGTGTAGCGTAGAATGTCAAGCCAATTGCCCTGGCTTTTACAGTACCAATGACTGGGTGAGCTTGGATTAATTTTAACAATTGATATCAGAGCTAACTCATCCCAAACTCCCTGATTCAACCAGTAAAGGAGCCTTACATGGGTTGTTTAATTTTTGGTCGGGTTTAACAAAACCCCCCACACTGTTTTTATGTTTTGTCGGCTCAAATTTGATGTTTTATTGTGACTTGATGTTTGAGAATGAAATTGACTGAAAAAGGATTGAAAAGGGGGCTGAAAAATGGGAGATATAGTCGGGCAGGTCAAAGTGTCACGGGTTGAGACTCAAGCTTTAAATTCGTACGATTTTGGGATCCGGGCATTCACCCTTCCGGTATTCCAGATTAACCTTCCTGTCACGGTTCACACTCTTGTGAGGTATTGTCCGTTCTAACTCCTTGGCCTCACAATTTTATCCTACAAAAGGCCCCTCACAAGACGAAAATAATGTGAATCCTTTTATATCCCAGTAACCCTCCTATTATGTTCGATGTGAGATTCAGGACTCCCCTTAGATCCGTGACATTCTCTCGCACCCAATCTCGTGACGCCCTCGTCATGGAAACTTGCCACCCTGCCTACCTCTCTCGAGGTGCTTGGCGTGAATCAAACGGTTTAGGGCTGGTTCTGATAACACTTGTCACGGGTCGAGACTCAAGCTCCACCCGCGCGGCTTCAGGACCCGGACATTCACCCTTCCGATGTCCTAGATCAACCTTCCTGTCACGGTTCATACCCTTGTGAGGTATTATCCGCTCTGACTCCTTGGCTTCACGGTTTTGTCCTACAAAAGACGACTCACAAGGTGGAGATGGTGTAAACCCTTTTATATCCTAGTGACCTTTCTATTATGTTCGATGTGAAATTCAGGACTCCCTCTTAAATCCGTGTCAAAAAAGACTCGACTGTATGCGTCTTCGCCCGATCGGTTGAAGAAGAAAACTAGGGAGCGTGCATAGTTTATGTTATGGTTGGCCCAGTTAACTTTAACGTGTTGTGGGCTGTTTGTATTAACACTCTGGGCCATTTCTTTTGCACACTCCTGGGCCATTTTTTCTTTTGTTTCGGGCCATAATACTTAACCATATCGTGTTGTTCTCTTTCTCTATTTTAGGTCATTAGTTTTATCCTTGTTGGGCAATTTCAAATTGGATCAGTTATATTTGTCTATCTAATCAGTATTGGGCCATTTACATTAGTTTTTTTGGTCATTTAGTTTAATTATTATGGGCCTTTTGCCTTTATGTTTTGCCAATGATATTATATAAATTAGACCATTAGCTTTTGTTCGAATTGGGCCTTTTGTTTAATTAATATTGGACCATTTAATTTTTTAATTTTACGCTATTAAATTTTTTAAATGGGCCATTTATAATTTTAGAATTAAATTTTGGTCATTTTATTTAAGATCAATATTTGTTAAAATTCAAATTTAGGCTTAATTTATTTATTTATTTGCCATTTTTCTTAAAGCTACTTTGATTAAAAGTTTGCAAAATAGTTTGGATCCAAAAATTAATAGATTTTTTTTTTAATCTTAGGCCTACTTAAATGGGTTCTAAATGAATCCCAATTTCGTAAATTAAAATTTACTTAATCCATTAATAATTCATAATTCATTCAATCCTATAAAAATCCATTTAATTAATAAAATTATCTTATTATTTGAATATTTACTTTAAATCAAATTAATTGATTTCGTTAGACTCAATTTTTTGAATATGATAACATATTTTAGTTTTCTTAAATTTTTGTCTAATAATTTGATGAATGTTTTTAGATTAAACAAATTATTAATCAAATTGATTAGAGCACGTCTGTTATGAAAATTATCATGAAGATTTTTTTTTCATTTTTTGAGTAATTTATTTTGAATGATAATAAGATAAATTTTTATAATAGTTGCAATATTTATTGAGATTTGTAAAAATAATAACATTTTCCTTGTCGGGCTAGTTATTATTTTGAAAGATGCTTGGGAAATTTATTTTTTTTACTGTGGTATAATGTGATTTAGCTACCTTATCGATAGCAAGTCATGTTAGCGTTATATTCGACTAGTTCTGTACTATCCATTTTAGTATACTCATGGAAATTTTCAAAATTTGAATTTAATAGATTAACTATTATGACATGATTCTATTTACATGCATAATATCAATTTGAGTTATTCTATCAAACCTCCAATCTATGTTTCATCTTTTCAACTATCTCATCACAAGATCATTTTAATATTTAAAGTGAATCACTCTCTATGATTTTGGGCATAATAAATAAGGAAATAGCCTAAAAATTGATCACCTTCTATATCCGTTTTTAAGAGTTCGGTTGAAGACAAAAGGATAATATGCTTCATAAAGACACTCTAATTAGAATTATCTGATGACGTATAGGTATATCATTAGTGTACGAATCACATAGAGTTTCATACATGCAAATAATTAAGGTTGCCATTAAAATTAATTTGAAAAGTTCCATAAGGTAGAAATATCAAACCACATAGATCTTTCACCATTACCAAATTAGATGTGGTGATAATTTTTGTGAGCACATTCCGAAAATGATCAACGTTGAAATACAAGACCAATTCCTATTGTGGCAGATTTTTGAATAACTTCATTTTGAAGGTGACAGTGTGATTGAAATCCACCCATAAAGTACAGAAGAAAGCATAGGATTTAAATACCATGAGTGCTAAAACCATATAAAATGAAGAGATATTATAAGTTGGTAATCTTATTCTATCATCTAGATGATATAAATTAGCATTACTGTCAAACAAAACATTGAGAAAGGTCCCATTAAAGGTCATTGAAAAAGAAAAACTTTGTGAAGTCCACTTCCCACACTATAACAAATTTGGTCATTAGTGGCGCATAGAATAATGTCAGTAAATATTTATTTTTGTCACCCTATATATTCTGTGACAAAAAATTAAACGTCAATATGTTTGTCACGGTTGCATCGTCGCTAAAAATTTAATATGACGATAGCAAATATCATCATTTATTGTGAATCTACCTTGACAATAAAATAAAACGTCACCCTATATATATATTTTACGTTAGTTTTCATCAGCTATTTATGAAAAAAAAATTATTGAAGGGTAAATTCATCACAAAAAATGATAAAATATAATATATTAATGATAAAAAGTGAATCGTTGCAGTATTAATGACAAAATTATCATCACTAATGATTGTAAGATAATATCTACTGTAACAATAAAATAAAACGTTACCTTATGCATTAATTTTTATGACGTTAGTTTTCGTTAGCTATTTATAAACAAAAACATCATTGAAAGCTATAATCGTCACCAAATAAATGATAAAATCTTATACATTAGTGAAAAAAAGTAAATCATCACAATATTGATGATACAATTATCGTCACGAATGATTATAAGATAATATAAAATATGACAACAAAATCAAATGTCACGTTATGCTTTTTTTTTATATGACGTTAATTTTTGTCAACTATTTATAAAGAAGAATGTCATTTGAAGGTTATAATAGTCACAAATTAAATGACAAAATCTATTATATTAATGACGAAAGGTAAATCGTCATAGTATTATAAACATAATTATCGTCACAAATGGTCGCAAGGTAATATCAAACATAACAATAAATCAAACGTCACATTATGCTTTAATTTTTTTGTTACGTTAGTTTTCGTTAGCTATTTATGAAAAAATATCATTAAATGCTATAATCGTCACAAAATAAATGATTAAATTTAATATATTAGTGATGAAAGATATATCATCACAGTGTTGGTGCATCATTAACGTTATTTAAATCCTATATATTAAAAATTTTTTTATGGAAATAATCTAAATGTAGTGTTCTTGCAAATCCATTAAATTATTTAAATTGGTTTTAAATGTGTTAATTCTTTAAAGTCTACCCTAAAATCATATAGAAATAATATTATTTAAAACAAGTAATAATTATGAAATAGGTAGTTATCGAATCTTACCTCAAGCTCTCAATCCAAATCTTGTGTCGAGGTGATTATGTTGATGGTGAGTTTGTGTTACTTGAAGCTGCAATAAATAAATAATAGCAAATATCAAAATAAACGACAATACACACAATAAGATCAAAACTAATATAAAAACAAACTAATCCATTTTATGCATATGAAATTTATAAAATGAGACCTACCTTGTATTAAAGAATAGGTTTTGTCAAGAAATTGGATAAGTAAACTTCTCAATCTGCAATGATACTAATCATAGGAAATAGATAAAAGATGGGTGGTTCATGTTCAAACAAGTAATCACTATTACCTTAAACCTATTTTTAAATCAATTCAGATAAATCATGAATAATTACAATTGCTCTTGCTTTCAATAAGCCCTATATCATTATCACGCTTGATATATCTTGCATCATAGGAATGACATTTTATCATCCAAATCAAGACAAAAAGGTAAAGTTATAATGATAATTTAAACTAAGATATAAACATACAAACAAATAAAGCAAAAACTCATAGACACAGCAAAGTAGCTACATTAAATCAAGAATCGTAAGAACTGAGCAAAGGCCTTTGATAAAGAATTTGGAGATGAACTTCCTTTTTACAAATAATAGTTGTAACTTGTTAAAAGGTGAAATTTGTAGTGGGACTATGAGAATTTTGTAACTTTGAAATTGACAAGTAAACTTCATAAAGACTTAGCAAATAAAGAAAAATCAAATGAGTTTTTAAAAATTGAGTGATAAAAAAGTACCAATTCTTACTTTTGAATTAGGTATCAAGAAAGCCTAAATATATAATGATTGCAACATCACAACCACAATAGAATTAATGTACCAAAAGGCACCACCAACTGTATATATAATCTTGCAACATCACAACCACAACAAAATCAAGTATATACCTGAAAATTGGGTGATAGGCACTTGGATTCCAGTAGCTACTAAAGCATTTGTCATAGCTTTAATTTGAGCTTGAAAAAACCCAAAAGTTGACTTATATTACTGAAGTTCTTCTTGTGTCTTTTTAAGATTTTCTTCTAAGCTTGTAACACTTGTAAACAAGATTTTAGTATTAGGTTTAGGCCCGTATCCAAGTCTTTTAATATATCTCGACCTAATACCGAACACTTCATCCATTATAGCATTAACAATTTTAGGTTCTACTCCTTCTTCAATAGGAACTGATTGTAACTCCACATTTTTTTCTAACATTTAATTGAAATTTTGGTTAACTCAAAGAACCATACTACAATAATAAAATTATAACTCTTAGTTTAAAATTTCTTGCATAGGCTATTTGAGCTTTAGGTGTTGACCATCATTTATTCTCTGAGTAGTGAGTTGCCTTAAAAATTTTCATTTTATTAGGTTTTTCATGATCTTTGT